CATTTGATTAAACTATGCTGAAATTATTTGTCCTGTTAAACTTTCTCAGGGATTAAAAAACTTCATTCATGAAAATAGATACAGAAATGGCCAAAAAGCACATAAAAATGTTTTCAATAACAGTAATCATCTGTAAAATGAAAAATAAGAGTAAGATACCATTTCACAAACTCTAGAATGGTTCAAATAAAAAATCCTGACATTAGCAAATGTTGGCAAACATTTGAAGCAACCTAAATGTTTATATATTGCTGGTGGAAACATAAAATAACACCATTTTTTAAAAGATTTTATTTATTTATTTGACAGAGAGAGTAGAAGCAGGGGGAGCGGCAGACAGAGGGAGAAGCAGGGAGCCCGATGAGGGGCTCGATCCCAGGACCCTGGGACCACGACCTGAGCTGAAGGCAGCCACTTAACCGACTGAGCCAACCAGGCGTCCTAACAACACCGTTCTAAAGAAATTTTTGGTGATTTCTTAGAAAGTTAAACATATATCTGGCCAACGTTTCAACAATTTCAGTTTAAATATTTTCCTAAGAAAAATGAAACATATGCCAACAAAAATGCCAACAAAGTAGCTTATTAAAAATAGTACAAAAAGAAAAAGAAAAAAGCCATCAACAGGATATTGTATAAATACATATTTTGGTATATTCATATAATAATAATATAAAAGAATGGACTACTGATATATGGCAGCAACATGGATTAATCTCAAAATTATTAAAGTGAATGAAAGAAGTGAGACTGAAAATAATGCATCATATCTACTTCTCTTTTTAAGTTCTAAGAACAACAGCAACAAAATTAATCCATGTGGCAGAAATCATAAAGTGCTTACCTCTTAGAGTTAGGGTTTGAGGTGGATGAGGATTGACTGCATTGGGGTACAAAGGGACATCTCTGGGTGATGAAAATGATATCTATCTCTACTGAGTAGTGCTTACATGGATTTACAAAATTGTCAAAACTCATCAAGTTGAAAACCTAAGATCTGTGCATTTTACTGCATATAACGTATCACATTAAAAAATCGAATAGAGTAAATATCTTCTCTTATATTTTTATTTTAATGCTATACTAGAGCCTAGAGCATGATTTAACAACTGTAGGAAGAGAGGTAAAATAATAATTTCCCTGGAGCCTTAGCTACAAAATCTGTTTATTAAAACAGATAAAGTACAATGATGTCAGGGCTTTGCACTTGTCCAGATGGACATCATCCACTTTGAGAGATAGGAAAGCTACTATTACTCTAGAGGCTGTGCTTGTCAATTTTTCATTCATAAAGCAAACCTAGAGCTCAAGTACCACTTTACCCAGTTAATCTGTGCCTTATGACTTGCTTGATTTTGCTATTCACAATTCTATTAATTTTTCAAGTATGCCCAAAATAAATAGCCAAAGTAGGTTGCTGTACCAAAAAGAAAATATATATACATATAGGTATATAAAAATGTTGCCCCCTTCATTCAGCATTTTAATTAGAATAGGAAGAAAACAAGAGCTCAGCTTAATTCTGGAAGAGTACACAGTGACATTAAGGAATTTATGCAATTTTTCTGGCACTGGTTCATTATTTGCCAAGCAGGCAAGAGCCTCAGTACAGCCAGAAACAGCTCCCAAATGGGACTGGTTAGGCACGTTATATCTTAAATAACAATTGTGCCTTGCTGTTGGAAAGCCTCCCAAATGTGACCAGGGGGGAACATTAGATCTTAAATAACAACCATGCCTCTCCATTTAGAGAATAAATCAGTGTTTAAAAGAAACCTGTCCATGCAAGTACACTGTGATTAAAATTAAGTGAAATTAAGTGTAATGTGATTGGATGGATTTTTTTTTTTTTTGCATTTGTACAAAATGGCAATTGCTGGTATAACCAGGCTAAATGTACTTCCTTGAGACATCATGCATGCAAGAAATGTTCTGGCCGCTAGGTGCCCTAAGGGTTTTTAATTCTGTAGTACTTGCTGATTTGCACTGAAAATGTTATGCAGGTCGGTTCTATTGCATAAAAGATTCATTTGCATACAATTATTGATTATCTGTTGCTCAATCTAAGCTGAATGCAGAGATTTTTCAGGACTTTACTGCTTAAACCTGTACATTTATATTGTGCATGTAATGTTCATAACAATACCTTCAATTTATATGGACCATTTCTTCTGAGGAGCTCAAACTTACTAATATGTGATCAGGACGATTTTCCTTTTTCAAAGTGGTAGTGATCTATAACGAGCATATGAAAAGCATATTTAAATAATCTCAAATCAATGAGGGTATAATAAAAGCCCCTTCCCAAACAGCTGGTCTGGGAATGCTGTGTTACTTATGGGCTAGACATTGCATATGAGGTTTATGCAACTCATGTAAAGTTGTAATTCTAAGCATGAGCAGATCCAAAAAGCCTCTAGAGGCAGTTGTGCCAAAGTTCCCATCTAATAGCTATATATCTATGAACCTCAAAGAGTCATGAACTCCACGTACTTAAAACACTATGAAGGTGAACTTTATTGAAGAAAAGAGCATACAGTAAGAGTTGGGGACTATTCGAGACTCCATATTTTTGCATGTCTTGATGTTGCCCAGCTGGGAGCTAAACAAGGCTAGAGCTACTATGTCCACTATAGAATGTACCCAATTAAAACTCAGCTCATGAACGGATAGCATTACCCCGACAATAAGTCTGAAGAGTGAGACTGAAGCCCAGCAAAGATAAATTTGATTTGTGACATGGCGATGTAGGGATTAAATATAGGCAGACTACACCAGAGGGGATCCTGAATGGCTAAGGGACACCTAAAAACCAAAGATTTGGGGTCTGGTTAGGAAAACTCAGCTGGTAATAGGAACATGTAACAGATATTAGAAACAGGCTTAGCTAAATTGGTGCTTTGTCTTACCTTGCCTCATTGGCTAATGTTCTCTCTATTGGTTTTGAGTTTCCAGAGCACTGATTTTCTTTAACATGCTTAACATTTTCTATAACATGCTTCCTCTGTCCTTCTCACACTTCACAATCCCATTCTTAAGTGGGGCCATGGGAAATTCCTAAGTGGCCAAGACATCTTTCTAAAGAAAACTATGAATAAGAATAATGTCTAGGGCGCCTGGGTGGCTCAGTCGTTAAGCGTCTGCCTTCGGCTCAGGTCATGATCCCAGGGTCCTGGGATCAAGTCCCACATCGGGCTCCCTGCTCAGCGGGAAGCCTGCTTCTCCCTCTCCCACTCCCCCTCTGCTTGTGTTCCTGCTCTCGCTGTCTCTCTCTGTCAAATAAATAAATAAAATCTTTAAAAAAAGAAAAAAGAATAATGTCTAAACCCCTGGACCTGATAATATAGCTGAACCGTTGAGCTTGTGAATACTTTAAAAATACTATGATACTACCATCAATTGGACAACCAAAAAGAAATGGATAAATTCCTAGAAGCATACAATCTTCTAAGACTGAATAATGAAAAGACAGAAATTATGAATAGACTGATTACTTGTAAGGAGACTGAATCAGTATTCAAAAACCTGCCAATAAACAAAAGTCCAGGACCAGACAGCTTCACTGATGAATTCCACCAAATAGCCAAAGAAGATTTAATATCTATCCTTCTCAAACTCTTCCAAAAAATTGAAAAGGAAGGAATGTTTCCAAATTCATTTTACTAGGCCAGCTTTACCTTAATACCAAAACTAGACAAGGACACCAGAAAAAAGAATGAAAATTACAGGCCAAATATCTGATGAACATAGATGAAAAAATCATCAACAAAATAATAGCCAATTGAATTCATCAATACATTCAAAGGATCATACACTATGATCAAGTGGGATTCAGTCCAGGGATGCAAGGGTGGTTCAATGAACACAAATCAATCAACGTAATACATTACTTAACAAAATGAAGGATAAAAATCATATGATCATTTCAGTAGATGCACAAAAACCATATGACAAAATTCAACATCCATTTATTGATAAAAACTCTCAACAAATTGGGTTTAGACAGAAGGTACCTCAGTATAATAAAGGCCATATGTAAGTTCAAAGTTAAGGTGGGTGAAATGAGCAAAGGAGATCAAGAGATACAATCTTCCAGTTTTAAAATAAATAAGTCATGGAGATGCAATGTACAGCATGATGATTATAGTTAATAACATCGTATTGCATATTCGAAAGTTGTTGAGAGAGATCTTTCTTCAAAGTTGTCAATATAAGAAAAATAATTTTTTGTAACTTCATATGAGGATGGTGGCTGTACTTATTGTGATGATCGCTTGCAATGTATACAAATAGTGAATCATTATGTTATATACCTGAAACTAATATAATTTTATATGTCAATTATACTTCATTAAAAAAACTTAAATACCGGGTGCCTGGGTGGCTCATTTGGTTAAGGAACTGCCTTCGGCTCAGGTCATGATCCTGGGGTCCCTGGATCGAGTCCCGCATCGGGCTCCCTGCTCAGCAGGGAGTCTGCTTCTCCCTCTAACCCTCCCCCCTCTCATGTGCTCTCTCTCTCTCAAATAAATAAATAAATAAAATCTTTAAAAAGATAAAATAAAAATAAAAATAAATAAAAAAACTTAAATGCCAAAAATATGTGATATGATATCTATGATATCTCATTATTCTTAAGATCAATATGCATAGTGCCAAACATTATGGACAGGGAAGGAATCAATTATTATGCATATTTTAAAATGTATTTAAAATTAATCTGATAAAGATATTTCCTCTCTTCTAAATTCTTTGGCACAGTGCGGATTCCCTGTATTAGGCAATTATTTTTAGCACTATGTGGCAGTGTAAATCAAAGTTAAACTACAGTGGAAAAGTAGGAATCTTCAAATTTCTGTCATCACACTTTCCTTCTGTATACTCTTAATGTGTATATTTATACACAAATGTTATAGATATATTCCAAGGACTTAATATGTATAAAACAAAATATAAAATATAGAAATTTTGGTGCATCATGCCCTGCACTGCCCAGACTAGCAATACAGTCAGGATGGCTAAAGGTGATCCCAAGAAACCAAAGGGCAAGATGTCTGCTTATGCCTTCTCTGTGCAGACGTGCAGAGAGGAACATAAGAAGAAAAACCCCAAGGTCCCTGTCACTTTTGCAGAATTTTCCAAGAAGTGCTCTGAGAAGTGGAAGACAATGTCTGGGAAAGAGAAGTCTAAATTTGATGAAATAGCAAAGGCAGATAAAGTGCACTATGATCGGGAAATGAAAGATTATGGACCAGCTAAGGGAGGCAAGAGGAAAAGGGACCCTAATGCCCCCAAAAGGCCACCATCTGGATTCTTCCTGTTCTGTTCAGAATTCCGCCCCAAGATCAAATCTACAAACCCTGGTATCTCTATTGGAGATGTGGCAAAGAAGCTGGGTGAGATGTGGAATAACTTAAGTGACAGTGAAAAGCAGCCTTACAACAATAAGGCAGCAAAGCTGAAGGAGAAGTACAAGAAGGATGTCGCTGACTATAAATCTAAAGGAAATGTTGCTGCCGCAAAGGGTCCTGACCAAAGTTGCCCAGAAAAAGGTGGAAGAGGAAGATGAAGAAGATGAGGAGGAAGAAGAGGAGAAGGAGGAGGAGGAGGAATAAAAAAAACTGTTGATCTGTCTCCTGTGAACACCTTAGAGTAGGGAGTGCCATCATTGACACCCTTCTTACCCGGGTCATGTCTGCTGCCCTCGTAGGGTGAATTACACAATTGGGTCATGGTCATATTGTAGTTTCTCAAAGTGCTCTAGAAATTGTCAGTGGTTTACATGAAGTGGCCATGGGTGTTCAGAGCACCCTGAAACTGTATAAAAGTTGTACATATTTCCAAACATTTTTAAAATGAAAAGGCTCTCGTGTTCTCCTCACTCTGTGCACTTTGCTGTTGGTGTGACAAAGCAGTGAAAGATGTTTCTGGCATTTTCTTTTTTTTAATTTGTAAGGTGGTGTTAACTATATGGTTATTGGCTAGAAATCCTGAGTTATCAACTGTACATATCTATAGTTTGTAAAAAGAACAAAACAACCGAGACAAACTCTTGATGCCCCTTGCTTGGCGTTGAGGCTGTAGGGAAGATGCCTTTGGAGGGGCTGTAGCTCAGGGCATGCACTGTGAGGCTGGACCTGTGGACACTGCAGTGGGCATCCATTTAGCTTCAGGTTATCTTGTTTCTGTATATAGTGATCTAGCATTCTGCTGCCATTCTTAGCTGTGGAAAAGGGGGGATCAGCTGGCATGAGAAGTGTTTGGAACCTTTTTAGTTAAGTGCAGTAGTTTTAAACTGTTTGTTTTTAAACGAACTATAGAACTCTTCACTGTCAGCGAAGCGAAGAGCCACTGCATCAATGAAAGTTCAAGAACCTTCTGTACTAAACACAATTTGCAACGTTCTGTTATTTTTTTGTATGTTTAGAATGCTGAAATATTTTTGAATTTAAATAAACAGTATTATATATTTTTAAAATATATAGAAATTTTACAGTATGAGAGAAAATACAAATTATATCAATCTCTTTATTAACAATAACATTTTGTCAACAAAATAATATTAATATTTATCAGTTATAATGTAATTTAAGCTTTATTATTTTAAAAAATATGGATCTATATTGTTTACTCTGATATTTGATTTTAATATCTATAAGGACTGGAAAGGTATCTAGCAAATATTGATAAATTTAATTGAGACAAGCTTCACAAATTATAATACTCATTTTACCTTCCAATAATTACATTAAGTATGTATGTGGGCGATTCTGCAATAGCTTGCATATAAATGATGTAGATGCATTTCACTGGTCAATTTTACATTCTTTCTTTTTCTGAATTCCACTTAAAGCAGAAATACTATTAATGGTTTCACTTTTTTAGTTTCTCCATAAAATCCAGTTTTCATCAAAAAAGTGTTTTTCAATTTAACCTACACTTTCTCAAGCACTTCTTTCTTTAAAAGGACATGAAAAAAGTAGTTCACACATTTCATAATTGAAAAAGCATCAACAAATTCCATAAAATTCCAAACTTCCACTCTATATTTAACTCTTAGACTCAAAAGCAGCATAAAATATTTCATTAAGTAGTTTTATAAGGTAATAAAACAATACTATCAAATGGCTTTAAATACTATTAAAATTGTAAAGTTTATTTCTACATTTTGCTTGTTTACTTACATAAATATCTTATTAATCATGATATCATGATTAGATATTATCATCTAATAGCTCAAGGGTTGAGTTAGTTCATCATTTTTAATAAAACACGTAAAACTTTATTTCAAATTGTCTTCATAATGATTTGGATTATAGTGCCTTACATTTCCTCAGATCTTAATAGATCATCATTGACATCTACGTTAGATAATAAAGGACTTCTTGGAGTATGAGACACCTCCATTCTGCTAAGTTTCTTATTGTAGGCTTGGACTCATTGTTTGGATGGCCCTGATTATTGCTTGTAGCACTACCTAATGGAAGATTTTCCTTCATTACTGATCTCCAGGTTATTGGGGGGCAGGGGGGTGGGTATTTCAATCTATGTTCTGTATTTAAAGAGTCAGTATTAGGGTTAGGTCAGGGGATGTAATGGGATAGCTCCCTATTTCTGGCTATCACCAATAGCGTAGTAACATATCTATGAACTAGGTTTGAGTCCTTTCCCTCTCCATCATTTACTCAAAAGAAACTCTCCATTAGATCATAAGGCTGAACTGGAAATTATCAGTGCAACACAGATAGGGGCCATAGAAATCTACTTCTCTCAACATGTTTATTCATGCTTCCTGGGTCTGCTTGATATGCTTTTTCCAATATACCATGGATTTTTGCTATACCCACCCAACCCTAAAACATGATGAGAATGTCCATTAGTCCCTAAAGTTAACAACTGACATCGTCTGGGTCTGAGTAACATAATAAGAGCTCTTTTGCAAATGGAAACTTGTGTGTCTCCAGAACCTTCTAGGTACACGTTGCAACTCACCTACTGGTGTCTACCAGGGACTTAACCACCCCAGACACTTTCAGCACCTTCACATATGCTAAAGATAAACTTACAGACTAGACCTGCTGTATAACTCTCTCTTGCCCTGCATCACATTTGAACAGGCAGTCTCACTTGTTAATTAAGTCAGAACAGAATTTCCAGGTATGCTGCTTACAAACTCCAAAGAAGCCCATTATGCCTTATTATTGTTCCTTAGCTGATGGAGATAGGAAGTATAGCAACTTGTCCTTTATTTCAGAAGGAAGATGCTGTCACGCTGCAGCCACTTAACTCCTAAAACATTCACCAATGTAACAGGTTCTTCAATCTTCAATTACCATCTACCATAGATAGTAATGACGATGGTAGATGGTAACTATTTCCTAATAGAGCATCTAGCATATTTTATACTTTCTGCTCATGGAGTTCAATTACCTAATATCATTAATATAATGGACTGATATGATGCTCTGGTGAATATCAAGATGATCAAGATGTCTCTGACTCTACTCTGACAAAGAAAGGGAAGTTAACAAAGCCCTGCAACTCTCTAATAAATTGGAGCTTTGCTTTCCAATTACAGCTTATCTGGTTTTGGTTCTCTCTTCCTATTGGAATCAAGAAAAACATTTGCCAAATCATGACATGTAAATCAAATGGCAGAAGTTTTGTTTATCTGTTGCAATAGCTGATCACATTAGCTATGGTGGAGCTATAGCTTTGCTGGGCATGCAATACTCCATACTCAACTGCCATAGCCATCTGAGCTTTATCAGTATCACAGAGTTAAACTGATATGATGGACTCTACCATAACTGCATTCTTCAAGTTTTTGTTGATGGAGTCAATGTCTGCAATTTTTTGTGAACATATTTCTTGTGGTTTACCACCTCGACTTGAGTGAAGGCAAGCTGTAGAAACTTCCACTTTATCTCTTCTATCATAATGCCTGTAGGGAACTGACCCCCACTCTACAGATGAGGGTTACACCAACTTTTAAGGATAGGTAAACAACTGGAGAAATACTCACAGAATAGATTAGCTATGAGATAGTTTTGGATTAGTTTTCCATTTATCACCTGGTAGACATGAGCTCCTATTTAAGTCAAAGACTACAAGGGCACTTTGAGTCTTTATTAGTGTCAATTCAAAACTCTTATCTAAAAGATATAAAAAATCTGGCTATTCTTCCTTCCTTAGTACATACCTATTCTAGCAAGTGATTGTAGATTGCTTTTAGGAAAATTTAAATGATTATTTACTAGGTGTAGATGTAGCAGAATTACAGGAACTTTCCTCAAGAGAAAGACACTCTAAACAATAGGGTCTGAGGCTCTGAACTTATTTGTATCTGGAAAATGGGTAAGGGACAGCAACAGCTAATATCAGCTTCTGTTTGCCAGCATGAGTTATATTATTATTATGTAAACTGAGCAATTTTCTAATTGATTAACACTCTATCTTGCCCCTAGTGACACCATGATCTAGTAGCCATTACCCTAAATAGCTATAATTTCCACTTTTCTGTGCTGCCTAAGAGATATCAACTTAGAGCTCTGGGTAATTTTGTAGGTCTGTGTGCCATACACAGCCTGTTCTGGCTCAGAAGAAGCAACAATCTGTGAGCTACTCCCAACAAAAAACATTTTAGGGATCATGATACATCAGATAATCAATTAGGGTTAGTGGGTTTCCTGGATAGCCAAAATCTGGAATACAAGAAAAAAGAACAGTAATTTTAGATATCTAAACATCTCAAAGTATAATTATTTAATTTTTGACCCTCAGAATTGTTGTGCTTTTCACATGTCATGCTGTTTCTTCCAAGTCTCAGAAAAGACATATGCCCAGTTTAATGTTTTCCTCCCATTCCCTCAAATTTTAAAGTATTTTTGGTTAAATTTGCATATCTCCTAAAACAATGATTTTCTTCACAATCTTTCATGTATTATATAGAGAGATCTCTAATGTACTCATTTATATCCCTAAATGTATTCACTTAGATCTTGTCATGTAATATTTATTTTTTTCTTATTTTACTAAGTCCTGGATATATTAGTTGTTTTTTAGCCAACTGTTTCTACCAGGAAAAAGAAACATTTATTCTTGAACTCATTATAGAGGAAGCAAGTAAAGTTGACCAGTTAGCAATTGAGACAATGAATTAAAGTAAAACCTAAAGTAATAAGTAATAAAGTAATAAAAACCTAAAGTAATATTCAAATAATGTCATTTGAAACTACAATTAGATAAGATTAGCCATATTAAAGTCAAGGGCAAAATATTTTATTTTTTAGAAAAATACATCTCAGTTGTATTCTATATGATTTTAGAGAGTGGCACATAACATTATAGAATAAATTATTTATAGTGAGCTTATGTAAATAAATTTTGATGTTATTGCATATGGATGCTTATAAGCAGAAATAAATTTTATGATCCTATAATATATCTAGTTACCTGTGGCATTTTATCAGTAGAAGTTATAGATTCATCTCTGTTGACACCTAAAAAAATGCATTGTTAGGTAAGCTGCGCAGTAATAAATTAGAGTTTATTTTTAAATAAAAATAAAATATTGAAGTCTGTGACAATCATTATTGCATTAATTCTGCGAGTT